CTAGTGCACTAAGAATATTTCTTATATACTCAATTAAATGGATCAACATAAATATGGAATATCATCATGATGTGCAGAAAGAGAGAAAGAAGTTTACTTGCATCCTGTTGACGATTTGCATCTGGTTGGTAATGTTTGAGTGATAGTGACCGCAGCTGATCAACCTGCATCAATATGCTATACCATCTTGCATCTCAAAAAGAACCAATATATCTCCATGAGATAAAGCCATTCTAGATCCTACAAGTTCCAGTTCCCAACAAGCTCAACTCACTAAAAATTGATTAAAATTTATAAGTTGACCAAACTAAACTGTAATATTTCCCAAAGTATTTTTGTAAGAACAAAGAATACCTCCACGTTATGAAGGCAAATTATGTCTCCCACCGAGTGAATGCGTGGCAAATCAGCCATGGTCAAACACTACAACAAATTGTACTTTTCCCAACCCTTATTCCCGACGCATGGTTAAATACGTCACCAAAAATTATGTTTTCCCCGATGATTTTAGTTAGCATCGACAAAACATATATTTTCCCCCGCGTTTATAATTAGCGTCACTGAAAGTGTATATTATTTGCGACGTTTTAAATTAGCGTTGGTAAAATTGTATGGATTTCACGATGTTTTTCATTTTCGTCGGTAAAAATATATATTTTAGCGATGTTTTAAGGTTGGCGTCGCTAATAATGTGCATTTATCGCGACATGTTAGGTTAGCGTCGCTAAAAGTCTCTTTTTCCCAATGTCCCTGCTTTGCGTGGCTAAATGGTCTATTTTTTACGATGCTTTTTCATTCATCTGCGTTGCTAAAACTTCGTCAATTCCACTATTATGTCGATCCTCTATTTTTGTTTGAGCGGACTCTCAAATTTTCCAAACCCCGCGTCTAAAAATCTTTCCCCTTCTGTTTTCCTCAAACACGCTCAAAATTTCCCAAAACCCTCCCTTTCAAAATTTCTCTGGCTTCCTCCTCGTCCACGCCTTCCTCTCCCACCCCCTCTAATTCGTCCTCCTCGATGGCGGTGCCGGCATAGCCACCATCGATGCCGCCCGATAGGGGTGTGCAATGGTCGGTTCGGTTCGGTTTTTACCAAAATTTGAACAACCGAACCGAACCGCCTATAATTTAAAACCGAACCGAGTTGTTGCAAGTCGGTTCGGTACGGTTCGATTCGGTTTGTTCGATTCTAACTTCATCAAACTTCTTATCAAACAACAAACCGTATTAAAGAAAAAAAAAGATATCAACAAAGTAGGAGATTATGAAGCATTAAACACTGATATAATGATATTATTTTCAACCCATAATGATTCAGAAAATGAGTTTAGGGTTTGAGTCTTTGACTCTTTGGAAATGGGTCGGGTAGGGTTTGAGATCAGAATGGGTAGTGTTACACTATATTCGATCGGTTCGGGTCGATTCGGGTTGAAAAGTTTTTTAAACCGACCCGAACCGTCCTACTCATAAAACTGATTTTTTCGGGTCGGTTCGGTCTTTTTTTTTGTTTGGACCAAACCATGCTCAACCCTACCACCCGAGTACATCGGAGATTTGATCTTTCCACCCCCGTCGAGGGTTTCAGGCGCCACCAGCTCATCGCGACCTTCACGGATGGCGCCTGGAGTCCCGGCGTAGACGGAGGTACAACGTGTGCCTCTCCCATCCGAGATAGCAAACGGAGGTCGGAGCGGGGGATATTAGGGCTCGCCGTGAACCGACGGGGCGGCCGACGACGAGGTACATTTAGGGTTCCCATTTACAGTTTGGCCATTAAAGTTCATTTTCGTCAACTACTATGCACTTAGGCATCGCGTTGTGATTGATGATGTCGCCATCATTGTGTTTCCAGCAGCACAAGCCTATAAAATTGCAAAAGCTCAGGAGCATTACTGGGGATTCTATGATCGAGAAGGCGGTCGCTTGTGGAGCTTAAGTTGCCTTTGACTGAGGTTGGGTTTTTTGGTGTTACTGGAGTTGAATAGGGGTTGATAGATTTTCCTTTTGCTTGTGCTTGAGATAGAGGATGAATGAGAGGAGTTGGGTGATGGGCTGATAGGCTTTCTCTTACTCCACTAATTATGTTTTAATTATCATGTTTGTTTTGCCTACTAAGTGTTTGCTAATATACCTATGTTTCAACTACCTAGTAGAAGTTACAAATGTTAATTGGCGTACAAATTCCTTAGCTTCTAACTTTTTTAGATTTTTTGAGATATTCCCTCTCATGTATTTGATGACAGCAAGGTGGTGAGGCTCGGGATCGTGCAAGTGCTGACGGTGATCTCGCAGAAACAGAAGGCAGTGCTGAGGGAGGCTTACAAGAAGAAAAGTTCTTGCCTTTGGATCTCAGGCCCAAGAAAAATTCACACCATCAGGAGAAAGCTTACCAAGCATCAGGTAACGAATTATCATGGTCTAGTTTTTGATTCCTTATAATATACGAGGCCTGGCTAGATTCATTGTGCTTGTTTAATTTGGATAGTTAATTCTACACATTCAATCTGTTTATTGATAAATAAATACAATGTAACTAAATAGTGATCAATTTTGGTTTTGTCTAATTAGACTTATTCTGGTTCGGTTTAGTGTATTCTAGAGAGGCGTTTAGATGGATACATATGCTCAACATATGCTCTGAATATGACTCTGTCCAAAGTGCTCTTTTGAAGCTATCTAGCGTATAACTCGATCTCGACGTCATCAACAATCGATTCGCTGGGTAACTTCTTGATGTAAACACCTCTCTTGGGTTATTAGAGAAAATGAAAGCTTTCACTTTTTATGTATCTTAGACTTTCTATAAGACTAGGATAAACAATCTCAACTTATGATTTTGATAACAATGTCTGTTTAGAAGTAACCTTTAAAATTTTACTCTAGTAATTATCACCTTCAGTTTATACTTTTGAATTCTGTTAATATATTGTACAGGGAGTGTACTACATTGTTATAATAGGGTGTGTTTTACAGACATTCTGATTTTTGTTCTATTCATTGCATTTTAGTAACTTTAATTGGTTAAGGATCATTACATTTTCTTTTACTATTTTCATTGGTAGGTTTGCAGAAACAGGACAAGCTCTTGTATCGTCAGTTGACAAAATCATTTTTGTTGGATCACCTGGTGTGGGGAACATGGTATATGTTACATGTTGACTGCTATTTTTCTCAGTGCCACATTTTATGCTTTGGATGGTCTTTATGTAGTAAAGCTAACAAATGAGCATGCACGTGTTCAGGTTACTGAGATGTTAGCTTCTGTTATCTGCTTATTTTAAACATTTGATGCTTTGTAGAACTGGTGTGGTGATTCAACTTTAATTTTCTTAGTTAAGGCAGATAATTTGTTCTCTTTATTGAAGACTGGTAATAAGGAGATTCTAATTTAAGCATTATACTGTTTAACATAGAAACTTATTACAAATTCAGTCAAATATTTTGCTTTCTTCAGGATGGGTGGGAGGTTGTGTGCTTACTGGTTTGATAATATCAATACTTGGAAGCTAACCCCCATGGAAAGTAGATGCACATGTTTACAAGTCCCTGAAGAATCTAATATTCCGTGATAGTAAAAATGTAATCCTTTACATGGATTTTGTAGAATGTTTACTCAATACTTCTCAGGCTTATTTAATGATAATACATGTATAACTGTGCATCTCATCATGTAGAAATCAAACGTTGGTGTTCAAGACTTGGCAAAATTAGTTGTGGAGAGGAAACAAGTTCCTAATATCAATAGGTTCGTAAATTTTGATAGAAGCTGCTCACTTTCTTTGTAATATATTATAATTTGTGCTCTTGTGTTAACTGGTTGCTTAGTTTATAATTTTTTCTCCAATCTATAATTTTTTGTGTTCATCTTTAACATTAAGCCAAAAAAAAATCTGATTTGCTCTGGTATGCTATTGTTGTGAAACAATGAGTTTAACATCAATTTGTTATGAGTTTTCTTGATTGCTAGATCCTATTTGAAGTTTCTTGTTGACATTCGTTTTCTTGTAGTTTAAGCAACTGTTTTATGGTAGATGACTAGATGGTAATCTAAAGGGTTTAAATTTATACTGGGCTAGGCTTATGGGTCCTGTAAACAACTTCACAACATAAGAATTGGATCACAGACATGATAGATTTTATTAATTAGATTAGCATCAGCAGCGCTGGGTCAGCTTTCTAGGATAAATCTTTGAGAGCTGGAGTTAAGATCTCATTGGCCCTTGTCTCGCTGTAAAGAGAGATAAATTCAAAGTGCGCCGAACCAAAGAAGCCATATCTCAGCGTATTTGATAAAATAAGGCAAACCAGGGGGCTTTTTATTGTTGAAAGCTTAGAAAGCTTATCAT